CGCTCCTCGCTTTCCCACCTACAAGTCCTCTTGTGTGGGGCACATCCCTTAAGCCCCGCCTCCCTCTCGCTGTCATTGGATGAGCGCGCCACGCCTTCAGCCACCTTGGCCCCGCCCACCCAGCCGCCTCGACCTATTGGGAGGTGCGAGCTGCTCCGGCAGCCAATGGCGGCGGCGCAGCAAGCGGAAAAGGGGGCGGGGATTCAGCTCGGGCCGGCGCTGCGGGCGGGACGAGGCCCGATGTTCGTTAGCGAAGGGTGTTAATTGTCCCCGGGCGGCAGCGGGGAGCGGTGCGGGACCCCCGGAGGCAGCGAACACCAGCCAGGCTGCCCCAAACCAGCCCAAAAAGGGGGTTATCCCCCAGTTCGAGGGCCTCAATGAGGTGCCGTCACGGTCCCACGTGGTTGGATTCAGTTATAGAAGCTTCTCATTGAAGACTATTAAATTAAGAATGAAAAGTACTAATATTTACACAGGGTTTTATTAAAATGTCAGAAAATAACAGGAAAAATACAACGGAATCCCACAGAGGAATGACCCATGGGGGGTACTGCAATGAAAAACAATGAGGGATTCCAGGACATGGTGTGGGGACGATGGATTTGTTGGGAATAACCCCAAACCCCTCCAAAATCCGGACTCCGGGAAGCAAAACCCTTCTTGGTGCAAGCACAGCATCAAGCGATGAAATCCAGGGGTCTGTTGAATCCCCCTTTCCTGTTCATGTACTGCCTGTGACCGGAGGGAAAGAACAGTCAGCAAAATCCACATGGAAACACACCAGGGATCCACATGGAAACACATGAGGGAGGCCCTTGACAGTGCCCAGCGGCATCAGGGAATGGAATTCCCTGTGGATTTACACACATGAGGGCAGGAAACCTCCCACCAAGGCAGTGTCTGGATTGTTTGAGGACCCCAGTGGAATCTCCTTTTTTTTGTCACACCAAAGGGATTCCCAACTGGAAAAAGAAAACCCTCCCAAGGCACAAACCTGTATTTCCTCTTCTGCGACACGTTGATGGCGTACGCGTTTGCAGCACCATCCACCTTCTTTCCCTGAAAGAGATGAAGTTAAAACAGGTTCTAAAACTACTTAGATGGAGCTGAGGAACAATTCCTTGCCCAGAGGGTGCTCAGGCATTGGAACAGGCTGCCCAGGGCAGGGCTGGAGTCACCGTCCCTGCGAGTGTTCACAGCCCGGGTAGACAAGACGCGCAGTGCCAGGGGTTAGTGGTGGCCTTGGCACTGCTGGGGAAGGGTTGGACTTGATGAGCTTAAAGCTCTTTTCCAGCGTGGTTGATTCCGTGATTCTTTTCTATGTCTACGCCCCAAAAAGGGCACAACGAGCATCTCAGAGGTGCCTGCGGGCTCCATCGTGCTGATCCACACTCACTTTTGTCGTGTCAAAGGAGGCAAAGCCCATCATCTTCATCATCTCGATCTCCTCTTCTGTCTTGCCCTGCAGATCCTCCTCTGCCAAGGCAATGGAGTAAGAGTTGGACAAATGCAGCCATCAGGCTGTGACAGCACCACTTTAAAGCAGCACCCGGGGGACCCCTGGGCTGGTCCCAACCTAAGCGGCG